ACAAATCCCGCTTGATCATGGTGAACGATTTTTTTAATGTATTGTTGGATTCAGTTCGCTAGTATTTTGTTCAGAATTTTTGCATCTGTGTTCATCAGAGATATTGGCCTGTAGTTCTCTTTCTTCGTGGTGGCTTTATCTGGTTTTGGTATTGGAAACTTGCATTTTGATGAAGGATTAAGTACTGGAAGTTCCTCTGCCCAATTGCTCTCTGTCCAAGCTTAGGATACTGAGTTGGGATGAGACACGTTGCTTGTGTTGCATGGTGTTTGGAACAGATGCTGTATCTTTATCAAACCGGTGTTTGACATTCTACTGTGTGTGAGAGGGCAGCAGTGAGGCAGTTGGAGAGAATGCCCCAGAACTGAACAGGGAGTCAGTTACTAGTTATCTGCTAATATAGACTAAAGAGTGACCAAAACCTTCACACTTGGCAGTTCTGCAGTCATTGGTCATGGTGACTCATTGTGGGCATTGCTGGGCGGGTAGTCTTTGGAACTTCATAAGGGTCTGCCCATGTTTTGTGGTTTTGATTCTTAGTTTTTGGATGTACTTTGTGGATCAAGATTTCTAAAACTGGGTGTGGGGCAGTTGGAGATCTTGTTTTCCTCAGTGGTGGGCTTGCCTTCTATCTCAGAAGCATGTCTTCTCTGAGGGTTGCTGAAATTGGAAAGATTTCTGGCTCTTTCTGTGTGAACCTGTGAGCTAGAGCCTATGATTTTCTTAAATCAGCCTTCTTCCTGCAGTTTCTGCCCCCTACAGGTGTTCCCACTGGCAGCCTGAAGGCTTCTTTCCAAGGTGGCTGCTTTATAAGGTTAGCAGGCCTTGCCTCCCCCAATCCCAAGGCAGTGTTGGTATCTGGTGATGGAGGGCTGAGTGATCTGAAACCCTGGGAGAGTCCCATGACCTGGACCAGCCTGTCACCCAAACACGTGCTGGTGCTCTGTTTCCCGCCTCTTATCTGTCATTCCTGCCATTAAGGGTTAGTTGTGGGTGGTACAGCTAGGGCAGAAATCTTTATGTGAATAAACCCAGAGACTCCAAGGACAGTCTGAATCTCATGTGCAAACGTGCCAGGAAAGAGCACATCTGTTTGAGACTGAAGAAGTGAATGCTGGTCTTTGGGTTGCCCCTGCAGCAAGTTCTCTCCTCCCCCAGGCCCCTCAGGGTTTTCATCCACTCCTGGCAGATTGTTCTCAATAGGCAAGCAAGTCCCCGAGGGTCCCAGGGCCTTACTCCCCTGTAGAGTCCTGGCTTCCCCTTCCTGTGGCCTCCCCACTTCCCTTTGATGCTTGGAGCTTCTGCTTTGGGGGATGACCAGGAAGAAAAGGTCACAGTGTGTGATGGGTCCAAGGCCAGAAGCAGGACCGGGGAGTAGACTTTCAACCTATTGCTGCAGCAGCCTCACAGTGCGGACTGGGTCCTCTCAGCCCAGGAGTGGGTGGGGAACTGCACCCACAGAGAATCCAGCATGTGCCTGGCCTCGTTTTCCCCTTTTTACAGATGAGAAAACCGGGGCTGAGGTTGGGTCAAGTTTCAGCCTGCCTGGAACTGGGATTCAGCCAAGGACTCCTGGAGATGGGGCTTCCTGTCGCGTCTGCTCTTGTTATAGGGAACTATGAGTCCTGGCTTGTCGGGGGCAGGTCTCTCAGGAGGAACTTTCATATCCTGCTTTGCCCTTCGGCCCTGAGAGGAAAAGCGTTCTAGAGCTTGGAAGTTTTGAAAGCTTGGGAAAACGTGTGGAGTTCCCCTGGGCTGAGGGGCTCCTGCTTTGACAGGGTAGAGCAGGTGTTGGATTTCAGAGCATTCCCTCAACTGAGTGCCCTCAAGAGGGAGGGACTGTTAGTGGAATCCTTCAGGGACTGTGGACACTGCCAGCCCTTTAGGCATGTTCAGGCTTCCCAGTGCAGGGGCTTTCTCCAAATGGCCTTGAAAATGCAGAGATGCCAGCTTGCTTGTGACTTGGTTGCATTCCTTGTAGAGCTCGTATTTGTTTCGCTCCTTGTGGCCCTTCATTGAAGCAAATCACTGCCACTTAAAGTGCTCCCTGGGCCCCACATTCCCAATACCAGGATGCTCAGAGATGCATGGATGTTAGAACTTTCAGGTTGGTACCTTTCCTTCCTGTCTGAGGAGTACCCAGGACCCTGGGGACTGTCTGCTTCAGATTTATAGATGCGGGTCGGATACCTGTCCCGTGGCAGGGCATGGCCAACGCTCCAGGATCGTGAGGAGCCAGGATCTGCAGAAGGGAAGGCAGAAGTGCAGGTTGGAGAGGCTGTTAGATGTTTTTTTTTTTTTTTTAAGATTTTATTTATTTGTGAGAGAGAGCGCACAAGCAGGGGGAAGTGGCAGGAAGAGGGAGAAGCAGGCTTCCTGCTGAGCAAGGAGCCCGATGCGGGATTCGATCGCAGGACTCCGGGATCATGACCCGAGCCGAAGGCAGATGCTTAACCGTCTGAGCCACCCAGGTGCCCCGGCTGTTAGATGTTATTAACATGTAATAATGTTACTTAGCATAGTTTAGATAAGTGTATGTCTTCCGAGGGTGGCCGTGTGGGAGCCTTGGCCAAAGAGTGGCTTGGGCTTATTCCTTAAGAAATGTCTGGCAGCAGGCCTGTGGCTGTTGGGGTCAGCAGAATAGGAATTGAGCCAGGCTGGGAGGCTTGAGGAGGTGGGGCCATTCTCAGTTTTCTCTGTTATAAAGTGCCCTTGGGTAGCTGGTGAGATTTGGAAAAGCACTGGGACTACTTACTCATCTGTGCTGATGGAACGCATAGGGCTGGGCACAGGCTTAGCCACCTGGATACTCAGGAATGTCCCATGGGCCTGGCCAGCCAGTTGGTACCCACTGACAGAGCCTGTCCTGGTCTCTCTCCCAGCCCTGTTTGGTCTTCTCTACAGGTGGTGTCTCCTTGGATGACTTCACCTTGAGTTCTCCATTCTAGGCCCTCCCTCTGCTGGGTGTCTTGTCATCCCAGTGGTGGCCATTGGGATGGAGTGCGGTGAGGAAACACGCTTGGGTTGCTGGAAACCTGGCTACACCCTGGCTCACCTACTGTCCGCCTCTGAGGACCCCAAGCCATACCCCACTGTTGTAAAACGTTTCATGGTTCCATGACTACTCCATTTGGGCCTTGACAGCTTTGCTTCCTATTTTCTGCAAAATGAGAGCATTTAGCCTTTGCTTTACATGTTTATATGTGGATGTGACAGTTTTCATATTTGATATAACTGAACCAAAACATTGGAAATAAGTATTATTTTTGTAGCTAAAAAAGATTTTAAAGGAAAAATATATTTAGTGTTTTTCATGGATTTAAAGACACCCATGTTTACAGATACTTTGTCATTTCTGAATGTTGGGTGTGTTTGCAGTGGATGGTGACTGACAGGAAGGGGGTTCTTAGCGGTGCCTTAGGTAGATGGTGGTGCACCTCAAGTTGCTGTGGTGTCACAAAAGAAGCTATTCATAGACCCTCTGTGATCTCAGTGGCTCAGAAGCAGTCACTAAAGGACAGCCCCAATAACAGTAACTTCTAATAATGTCACATGTCTTCTCGTGGGTTTTCGGAGGTAGGAAATCTGTTTATAGGGTAGTAAGTATCTCGTCTGGTAAGATTGATGGAATGACATGCACCTGGCCATGGGTCCTGACTAGGAAGATCAGGTATGGGTCCCCTTCCCAGTCAGGCACCTGGCTTTTGGCAAGAGGAATTCTGAGGAACCAGAGCCTCTAGGGAGCCCAGCAGAAGCCCTCTGGCCTTCCTGCTGCGGGCAGAGAAGCATTTTAGTGTCCCTCTGCTGAAAAGCAGTGGCCATGCAGGGCCATCCCTGGGCTGAGTCTGGCAGTTAAGACGTGCCGTCTCTTGGCCATTGTTGTCTCTGGGCTTGAGACGGAACAGGACCGTGGAGCTGAGAGTGACGTTCGTTAGACCAGAGAGTGGGTGCCACCTTTCTTGGGTTGGGGGCAGGAATGGCGTTTCTCAGAGGTGAGAGTAGTCATAGATCGGCCCGAGCAAGAGGCAAGCCTTGCTTCCCTCTTGTCAGCTGATGGTAGAAGTTTCTCTGGCAGCATTCCTTTGGGTACCTTGATTATCACCAGTCATGTCCCTGTAGAAAAGGACTTCTGCCCTAAAATAGGAGCACCTGGGAGGTGCTGTTGAGTGGAGTAAGGGGGTGAGTTCCTCAAGGCCTGCTTCTGGGGCCTGGGCTCTCCAAGGACAGAGGTGGGCTCTGTATATTTCCCAAACTTAGTTGACTAAAGAACTCTCCCTTAGAGAGACCAGAGCTCCTTGGACTCTTTGATCAACACTCTTCTAGAGTTCCCCACACTGGGTGTTGGCATTTTTCCTGAGGTTTGAAAAGCAGGGTTAATTAAGACGTTAGATACGGCTAGCTGTATTTGCCATCCAGATGTGTCCCACTGTACTTGAATGTATGTCCAACTGACGTGGTAGTTGTAAGTGAGGCATCTGGGGACATTGAGTTGTCCCTTGCACCCAGGGCCGTGTGCATTTCCACTTCTGGGCAGGAAGGGCATACGACTCGAGCAAAATTGTGTCTACAGAGGGCAGGGAGAAGTCTGAGACAGGGTTGGAAAGGAGTGCTGAGGGATGAGACACTTGGACCTGACTCCGCAGGCCAGGTGGGTGAGTAGGTGGCAGGGCGTATCGCTGTTGTAGAAACCTGCAACGTTCTTGAGCTCCACGGCATCAGTTCTCTGGGACGAGATGTGTGTGTGAGTGCCATCACTGCTGTCTCCCCATAGTGTGGCCTTGGGCAATCATTTGCCTTCCAAGCTAGCCTATCTGGCAGCCCCAGTCTTTCTTGACAGGTGGAGGAGAGCTCCAGGAGAGGAGTTGGTTCCCCCAGCAGAAATTCTGAGTTATACCTTCAGCCTGTCGCACAATTCAGGCTGGGCCAGGGAGGAACTACTGTGATCATTGTCAGCTTGTGCATCGACAGTACCCCTTAACTCATGCTGGTGTCTCTTTTAGGTGTCAGCAGCGGGGAAAGAGGCCTTGCCGTCGTGGCTGCACTGGGACCCGCACAGCCACACCCTGGAGGGCCTCCCTCTCGACACCGATAAGGGTGTGCATTACATTTCAGTGAGCGCCACGCGGCTGGGGGCCAACGGGAGCCACGTCCCCCAGACTTCCAGTGTGTTCTCTATTGAGGTCTACCCTGAAGACCACAGCGAGCCGCAGTCTGTGCGGGCGGCATCCCCAGACCCTGCTGAGGTGGTGTCATCGGCCTGTGCTGCCGACGAGCCTGTGACCGTCCTGACGGTCATTCTGGATGCTGACCTCACCAAGATGACCCCAAAGCAAAGGATTGACCTCCTGCACAGGATGCAGAGCTTCTCAGAAGTGGAGCTTCCCAACATGAAGCTGGTGCCCGTGGTGAACAACAGACTGTTTGACATGTCAGCCTTCATGGCTGGCCCAGGCAATGCGAAAAAGGTGGTGGAGAATGGGGCCCTGCTCTCTTGGAAGCTGGGCTGCTCCCTGAACCAGAACAATGTGCCTGATATTCGTGGTGTGGAGGCCCCTGCCAGGGAGGGCGCGATGTCTGCCCAGCTTGGCTACCCTGTGGTGGGTTGGCATATCGCCAACAAGAAGCCCTCCCTCCCCAAACGCATCCGGAGGCAGATCCATGCCACCCCCACACCTGTCACTGCCATCGGGCCTCCAACCACGGCCATCCAGGAGCCCCCATCCAGGATTGTGCCTACCCCCACGTCTCCAGCTGTTGCTCCCCCAACAGAGACAATGGCCCCTCCAGTCAGAGATCCTGTTCCTGGAAAGCCTACAGTCACCATTCGGACTCGAGGAGCCATTATTCAGACCCCAACCCTAGGCCCCATCCAGCCCACTCGAGTGTCAGAAGCTGGCACCACGGTTCCTGGCCAGATCCGCCCAACGATGACCATTCCTGGCTACGTGGAGCCCACGGCCGTCGCCACCCCTCCCACGACTACCACCAAGAAGCCACGAGTATCCACACCCAAACCAGCCACGCCTTCTACTGACTCCTCCACCACCACAACTCGAAGGCCGACCAAAAAGCCACGGACACCCCGACCGGTGCCGCGGGTCACCACCAAAGCTCCCATCACCAGACTGGAAACCGCCTCCCCGCCTACTCGCATCCGCACCACCGCAAGTGGGGTTCCCCGTGGAGAACCCAACCAGCGGCCAGAGCTGAAGAACCACATCGACAGGGTGGATGCGTGGGTGGGCACCTACTTCGAGGTGAAGATCCCATCAGACACCTTCTATGACAACGAGGACACCACCACCGATAAGCTGAAGCTGACCCTGAAGCTTCGGGAGCAGCAGCTGGTAGGCGAGAAGTCTTGGGTGCAGTTCAACAGCAATAGCCAGCTCATGTATGGCCTGCCCGACAGCAGCCACGTGGGCAAGCACGAGTACTTCATGCACGCCACAGACAAGGGGGGCCTGTCCGCTGTCGATGCCTTCGAGATCCACGTCCACAAGCGCCCTCAAGGGGACAGGGCTCCTGCGCGGTTCAAGGCCAAGTTTATGGGCGACCCAGCCCCAGTGGTGAATGACATCCACAAGAAGATTGCCCTGGTGAAGAAGCTCGCTTTTGCCTTTGGGGACCGCAACTGCAGCACCATCACCCTGCAGAATATAACCCGGGGCTCCATCGTGGTGGAGTGGACTAACAACACGCTGCCCCTGGAGCCCTGCCCCAAGGAGCAGATTGCGGCGTTGAGCCGGAGGATTGCAGAGGATGACGGGAAGCCTAGGGCCGCCTTCTCCAACGCCTTGGAGCCTGACTTCAGGGCCATGAGCATCGCTGTGACAGGCTCGGGCAGCTGCCGGCATCTGCAGTTTATCCCCGCGGCACCGCCCAGTAGGGTGCCCTCAGACGCGCCGCCCTCGGAGGTGCCGGACAGGGACCCCGAGAAGAGCAGTGAGGATGACGTTTACCTGCACACGGTCATCCCGGCTGTTGTGGTCGCAGCCATTCTGCTCATCGCCGGCATCATTGCCATGATCTGCTATCGCAAGAAGCGGAAGGGCAAGCTCACCCTCGAGGACCAGGCCACCTTCATCAAGAAGGGGGTGCCTATCATCTTTGCAGACGAGCTGGATGACTCCAAGCCTCCACCCTCCTCCAGCATGCCACTTATCCTGCAGGAGGAGAAAGCCCCTCTCCCCCCTCCTGAGTACCCCAACCAGAGCGTGCCCGAGACCACTCCTCTGAACCAGGACACCATGGGAGAGTACACGCCCCTGCGGGATGAGGATCCCAACGCGCCTCCCTACCAGCCCCCCCCGCCCTTCACAGCCCCCATGGAGGGCAAGGGCTCCCGTCCCAAGAACATGACCCCGTACCGGTCGCCCCCTCCCTACGTGCCCCCTTAACCCACAAGCGCCTGGGTGGAGGCAGGGGTAGGGCAGGGCCCTGGAGACAACACGGTGTTGTCTGTGGAGACCGGTGGCCTGCAGACCATCGCCCACTGGGAGCCGACACCTGACCTAGCACTCACTGACGCGCGCGAGGCCTGGCCGAGCCCGCCCTCTCTGGTCCTCCAAAACCCCAAAGCAGCTGGAGAGACTTTGGGGACATTTTTACTTTTATTTTTTGCCTAACAGCTTTTTGTTTGTTCATAGAAAATTCTTTGCTGCGGTTTGGATGGCTGGCTCTGAAAGCACTGTTTGGAGTAGAGGTAGATGAAGGGAGCGAGGAGCCGTGAATGAACTCGCAGGCAGTGCTGGGTGGCCTCCCGGCTCTCTGCGTTTTGCCTTTAACACTAACTGTACTGTTTTTTCTATTCACGTGTGTCTAGCTGCAGGATGTAACATGGAAAACAGTAGCTAAAGATTAAATTCAAAGGACTTTCAGAAGTTAAGGTTAAGTTTTTACATTTAATCTGCTGTTTACCTAAACTTGTATGTATAATTTTTGGGTGGGTATGGGAAATTGCTTTGCTAAAAATAAGCTCCCAGGGTGTTTCAAACTTAGAGAAGACCAAGGGACAGTATTTTTTATCAAAGGAATCCTATTTTTTCACACTATGTAAACTTGGTTGCTCTGATACGACAGAGCCTGACTGGGGGCCTCCCGGCTGTGGCTCTGGGGCCAGGGCCCTGGTGCTGGGCTTGCTCTCCCGCTCTTGCCGGGGGCCAGAAGCTGGGGGGGCCTCTTGGCCGTGGACATCCACACCCCCACCCCATGCACGCTAGTGGCCCACCACCAAGGGGTCTTCATTTCCATGGAAAAGGGACTCCAAGAGGCAGTGGTGGCCGTGGCCCCCAACCTAGGTGCTCCAGGGTGGGCCGGCTGCTCGTGGGGGTGGCTGGGGAGGTCGAGGGACTCGACCACATCAACATATTTTCTTTTACCCTTCTGTGTTTTTTTTCCCCTCCTGAAAGGAATATCATGGTTTTTGAAACACTCAGTGGGGGACATTTTGGTGAAGATGCAATATTTTTATGTCATGTGATGCTCTTTCCTCACTTGACCTTGGCCGCTTTGTCCCAACAGTCCACAGCCCCACCCTGACCCACCCCACCCCTCTTCTCTGGCACTGCAGTCCTGGGCCTTGGGCTGGGAAAGGTCTGGTAGCGGGGGAGGAGTGCCAGCAATAGTTCATAGTAAAAATCTGTGGGCTCTCGAAGCTAATTTTTTACTAAAGTTTTTATACAGCCTCAAATTGTTTTATTAAAAAAAAGATTAAAAATGGTGATGCTTACAGCAGTTTGTACGAGCTCTTAGTGTTGATTCCATGGAACTGACGGCTTTGCTCATTTTGATTTTTTTTTTACCCCCTTCTTTTCATAACGGTTTAAATTCTCAGATTACACTGGGCTTCTTTTGCCTTTTTTAGCAGAACGTCCGTCTGTCCATCTGCATCTCTGTCCCGTGACTCAGGGGTGCCCACTCTGCTTTGATTCTCCTCCTTTGGAAGAAACCATTTTGAGCATGACTTTTCTTGATGTCTAAGAGTTATTTTGGGTACCTTTTAGGGAGGAATGCCTTTTGCAATAATGTATCCCTTCCATGATCGAGGGCTGGTGGGTGGACCCAGGCTCCCTTTGCACACCGAGCAGCCACTTCTAAGCCATATCGACTGTTTCACAGAGGATTTGCGTGTGCTGCCTCAGGAGGGGAGGGCTGGTCAGAGAGGAGGGGGTCTCCAGCCTGCCCTTCTCAGGAGGGCGTTCCCCCTGCGCCTTTCCCTACAGGGCCCAGCCTCTCTCCGCTGCCCACCCCTGGGTGGGGTACTCAAGTGAGCAGTGCCCCTGTGTGTGGGGGGGCCTGTGGCTGAGGGCTCAGTGGACCTCTGGTGACCGGATCTTGTGCCTCCCCGCCCTGATCCAAGCCGGAGTTTCTCCATTGCCCCAGAGTCGAGCACAAGTGGGGTCTGACCTGGTGAGATTATTTTTGATGACCTCGTCAAAAAAATAAACAATTCCCAATGTTCCAGGTGAGGGCTTTGAAAGGCCTTCCAAACAGCTCCGTTGCCCCTAGCAACCCCACCATCGGGCACTGCCACGCAGAGACATGGCTGGCCCCGAATGGCCTGTTGCCATAGCAACTGGAGGCGCTGGGGCAGTGAACAGAATAACAACAGCAACAATGCCCTTGCAGGCAGCCTCCTCCCCTGAGCGCCGGGCTGGCGATGGCCGTCGGGACTCTGTGACACAGAGCCAATCTTACATTCGAGTGCTCACCAACCACTGACATGTTTTTATTTCCTTCTATATGATTTTAAGATGTGTTTTCTGCATTCTGTATAGAAACATATCAAACTAAATAAAAGCAGTGTCTTTATTACAATGCCGTTGCCTCCAAGCATCTGTTTCCCTGGCCCCTGCAATGTTGTAGGATATGAGTGGGGTACGGGTCTGGTTTTCATGTGACAGAGGGAAGACAGGACCCAGCCAGGCCCATTCAGAGGACTTGGAGGTGGCCTTCGTGCAGCTGACCTGATGGCCTCCATGCCTTACCATTTTTGTGCCCCTGAGAGGGGTGGGTGTGTGCTCACAGCTCTCCTTAGCCGCTCTTCTGCCTGAGCTGGCAGAGAAATCGTGAGCTTCAGTTTCCTCATCTGGGAGGATGGTGGGAAAGGTCCTGCCTGCCATAGCTGTCTGCCCCAGAGTGGGTAAGCCCCTGCAGTCCCACCTCAGCTCCTGCCCCAACTGTCTTGCGGTCTCGGGGCTGGCCAATCTCCCAGGGAGTCTCAAGAAGGCAGGTTTGGCCTTGGCCTTTTAGTGGGGAGAAGGGGAGAATGGTTTCTGGCCAGACTGTTCTGCCCTGGCTGGGCCTATGTATTCTGGGGGCCTGCCCCGAAGTGCCCTCCTGGGATGGACAGGCCAGCTGGGTAGCATGACTCAGTGCCCAGGAAGAGGCTGGGTTGTCCTGGAACACTGCCCAGGGTGTGGGAGGCAGGGGGCACAGCAGCTGTGTCCAGTGGCAGGATCAGGAGCCATTGGTCACAGAACAACTGGTACCTCTTCTGGGCTTGCTCCCACCCCCACAGGGTCCTCACCATCTCCACCTGTAGCCCCCAGGCTGCTTCTCTGCTCATCATCTTTAAGACCCAGAGCTGTGACCTATCTTCTTTTGTAGGTGGAGCTGAGTTCCAACAAGTACTTGTGGAATACAACACTGGTAAGCGCCAGGAAAGGCTGTCCCCAGTTCAGGGACATGGGCTTCAGCCCCTAGGCCTAGCAGCAGGGGCCCAGGAAATTGCCCTGCCCTTGCTTGCTCTGTTGGCCTCAGGAAGTTCTGCTTAATGTTTAACCCGAAACCACTGGATTATGAGTGGACTCATTATTCTGAACTCAAAGGGATTCCTGGCTTCGGCAGAGAATAGTAAGGTCAGCAGGGCCAGGAAGAAGCGAAGCCACAAGGGCCTCTGGCCTCTGTGTTGCCCTGCTCTTCTTTGGGAATATCTGATGTTTGGACCGGCAGAGCCCTCTCCCCAGCACTCCTGCAAAGTATGTTAACTTCTCCTTGGTAGGACTGGGACTGTACTCAGGTCTGAGCTGGAGAGAGGGTGATGGAGGAAAGGAGCAGGAAGGAAGGGACACGGTTGAGGAGGGGACAGACCCACAGGAATCTGCCTTCCCATCTACCTCTGACCCAGGGCAAGTTCCTGGGATCCCTCTGGCCTGGCTTCCTTTTCTGTAAGGTGAGGACAGGACTGGTCTCCCAAGGGGTTCTAAGACACCCTGATAATTAGGATAAAGAGTCACTCCAGACACAACTGCCTGTAAAAGGGACAGAATCTGAGTGAGGCTGGGAGAATCTGCATTCTGTCCTAGTGTAAAAGCACTTCATTGGGTCAAGATCCTTGGGCTAGGCCTGGACAAAAGCTATTGGCTAGGAAATACTGGGATGTCTAGGAGCTCCTCTAGGATACCACTAGTTTGGTGGGAAAACTCCACATGACTCATCCTACTGCAGCCCGCAGCCTGGCCTCCGCTTGTTCCCAGGCTGAACAAGTTCCTGGGAGAGGCCCTTTCCTAGCCCCTCTAAATCATGGAAGGCCCCACTCCAGTGTCAGCCTTTTGAGGGTGAGCTTCACTCCTTTCTAAAGATTACTGTATCTTAAAAATACCAGTGGGCTGGGGCGCCTAGGTGGCTCAGTCAGTTGAGCTTCCAACTCTTGGTTTTAGCTCAGGTTATGATCTCTGGGTCATAAGATGGAGCCCCACGTCAGGCTCCACGCTCGGTGCAGAGTCTGCTTGAGATTCTCTCTCTCCCTCTGTTCCTCCCACCTCTCTCTCTCTCTCAAATAGATAAGTAAAATCTTTTAAAAAATATCAATTGGGGCGCCTGGGCGGCTCAGTCGGTTAAGCATCTGCTTTGGGCTCAGGTCATGATATCAGGGTCCTGGGATCAAGTCCTGAGTCGGGCTCCCTGCTCAGAGGGGAGTCTGCTTCTCCCTCTCCCCCTGCCTCTCCTCCTGCTCATGCTCTCACTCTCAAATAAATAAAATATTTTTTTAAATACCAATTGGCTAATGACTTAACTCTTTTCCTGCTTTGCTTACCTTTTTGATCACCGTCTTGAGGCAAGGTGATTGAGGCCCAGAGAGGAGAAGCATCCAGGTCCTGTGGCTAGTGCAAGGCAGGTTCGATTCTAAACACTTTAGGTTTTTTTTCCTGATTGTAAGATTTTGTTCTTACTGTAGAGCAGCAAATAATTATCTGAAGTCCCCTCCTACCCCACTGGGGGGTGCTGGGTACCATTTCCCTTATGGGGACCCTATAAAAGACCCAGAGAAGATAGGGCAAGAGACTTAAAAGTGGGGGTTCCCATCTGCTGGGGGTGGGGTGGGCCCACGTAGAAGCAGCCTGTGGTGAGGGCAGCATGAGACCTGGCCTCTGGAGCCCTCACTAGCTATACTGCCCCCAGTTTTGGTGAAGATGACCCTGAAGTCTCAGCTGGGATGGAGCGAAGCTGGTCTGATCGTGTTCCTGTGGAAGGTTCCGTGTGGCCAGGACGGTGCCCCTACGTGGGTTCAGGGCGGTGATGGGGGTAGCTCTCAATCTTTTTATTTTTTTAAATTTATTTATTCATTTGGTAGAGTGAGGGAGCACAAGCAGGGGGAACAGCAGAGGGAGAGGGAGAAGCAGGCTCCCCGCCAAGCAGGGAGCCCGATGCGGGGCTCGATCCCAGGACCCTGGGATCATGACCTGAGCCGAAGGCAGACGCTTAACCATCTGAGCCACCCAGGCGCCCCGGTAGCTCTCAATCTTAGTTGTTGCTTCCAGGTGGCCCCCAGGTGAGCCCGGCAGAGTGGATTGTCAGCAGCTTTGGGCCCAAGAGGCGGACAGTGCCCGCGGGCTCCCACGAGGTGGCGCCAGAGGCCGGGGTAAGCCAGGCAGCGGTGGGCGGGCTGGGGAGGGCGTGAGGAGAGCGCGAGCCGGGCGCGGCCCGCTGTGGGCGGGGCTCAGGCCTCCGGGGAGGACCGCGCGGAACCCGGCCGAGAGCGCTGCTGAAGCGGCCCCCGAGCGGGCTGAGGCCTGCAGGAGGTCAGGGCTGAGCGGAGCTGTGCGCAGGGCCAAGGCCGCAGGGGAAGCGGCTGGACTGGGGGCGCCGCCGGGCCGGTCCTTTTTCGCTCCGCCACCGCTGCCCAGCCCCCGAAGGCACCGGGACGAGTGTAGCTGGGGTTGGGAGCCTGTCCTTCGCTGGGGCCTTGCTCCTTCGGAAAGGGAAGCTGGCAGGGAACAGGAGGGGCGGATCTGGGGCCCAGGCTTTCCGATGGCCTCGGCTGTTGGGGCCCCGCCGGCAAACCTCGAATTCCGAAGTACGCAGGCGGGAACCAAAAAGGATGCTTCCTTTGCGCACTCGCTTGCCTTAGCTTTTGTGTGCGGCGCCTGCACACAGTAGGGCTCAGTGCTCGAAGGATGCTCCCCGAGTCTCCCCTTGCTCCGGCCTCCGAGCTCCTGAGCGCATGGCCTAAAGTACTGTGGGGTCTGAGAGGTTCCTGAATGGAAGTAGGGCCCTCCAGTTTCATGGTTGGGGGGTCCCCCTAGTCCCTGGGGGGACACTTGGCATTAGAAGCAGACAGGGATGGGGCCGGAGATGATTGATCTTCTCTGGATTGACCCTGGAGTACAGGCACTCTGAAGCCCCAGGGAACACCTTGCCCAAAGCTGCCTCCACAGCCCTGGGCACACACTGGGGCAGCCGGGAACATCCAGTTGGCAGCCGGCCAAGGCTCCCAAGGCCAGAGCTGCCGTTTCTGTTGCCTTCTTTCTTTTTTTTTTTTTTTTTAAGATTTTATTTATTTATTTGACAGAGAGAGACACAGCGAGAGAGGGAACACAAGCAGGGGGAGTGGGAGAGGGAGAAGCAGGCTCCCTGCAGAGCAGGGAGCCTGATGCGGGACTCGATCCCAGGACCGTGGGATCATGACCCGAGCCGAAGGCAGTCGCTTAACCAACTGAGCCACCCAGGCGCCCCTGTTGCCTTCTTTCTTCATGGTGTCACAGCCTCAGGCTGTAGAGGGCAGAACCCAAGTTTGGGACTTGCGGAAATGGCTGGGAGCTAAGGTAGACAGCTCCTTTTCCAGGGATCACTCCTCACTTCACTGCCTCCTTCCCTCAGCACCTCTGTTGCAAAAGGTCTTGGGAGAGAAAGGTGAAGAAAGGCAGGTGATGGCAGGGGTGGGGAGATCCTGCTGGGAGGCGGCAGCAGCTTGGCTCTTGCTGTGCCTCAGGGAGGACCAGCTTTGTCCTGGATGAACTCACCCTCAGGGCACAACGGGCCTGGTTGGGCCGGGCAAGGAGCTGGGCTTGGAGGATGCCGAGGGGGATGGGTCCTGCTCTTGTTTGAGGAGCACATAGTGTATAATTGTGTGGGGTCTAAGAGTTGGGCAGCTCAGCCTTCTTGTGTCCCATACAGTGATTAGAATGCAAATGAGAGGCGGAGGAG